TAGTGCATCATATATACACACGATATTATGGTAAGATTAAGAAACAAAGTTTTTATATAAAAATATATAATATATTATAGGTATAGTTGAGTTTAATTTTAACCATAAGAATTAAAAATTAAACTGGACTATAATATACCTATATTTGACAATTAATAACAATAAAATTTCATTAAAAAGTATCACTTTTATATATTTAATACAATAAATGTATTTTCTAATAAAAAAATATTACTTTAAATGCATAAATCAATTTTAAAGATTTTGGTTATCACAATCGTAAGTTTTATACCGTTTTTTTTATTAAAACAATGCTAGCTAGTATTTGTTTAAAAAAAATACTAAAAATATATTAAATACACTTAAAAAATCTATTAAATACGCACTAACTGTCTTTTTCAATTCATTCTCATTATAAATTACAATAATTTTTCAATTTTAATTATTTAACTAATTTCATAAGTTAGCAAGACCCTTTGTTATGCAACATCTAGGATTAATTTTAAGTATCTTAAAATATTGCCTCATATACTTTTATAAGAAACAAACACGTAAATTATTAAGATTAATAAAAATAGTTTTTATCTTTTAATAAAAATAATTATAATAATAAATAGCTGGATGAAAAATGATTAATTATTTTATTAATATAAATCTTACAATAAAATAAATGTATAACATTTTTTTAGTAATTAATGTATTTAAAAATATTTTAATTTTTTATAATTATGACAAAAAACACTCTTTATGTTTCTTGTAAAAAATAGAAAGATATAAATTTATTAATAAAGTATAATTATTGCATTTTCTATTTTTGATGTAATGAATATTTTTTTTAAATAAAATAGTTTTTGCTTTCATATACTTAAAGTAATTTTAAGGACTGATGTTAGCATTTTTAATAATTTTTTATCATTTTTAATATTTTATAAAATTAAATAATTTTTAAAATATAGAACCCCCTTATTTAATAAATAAAATATAAATAATTTATTTTAATTTAATACACTATTAATGTAAATCTTTTTACGCTGTTAACTAGCAATTAAAAACCATTTTAATCACAAATTTTAAAGTCTTCAATTGTGGGATAGTTTTGTTTTTGGTAAAGTAATTTGTGGGATAGTTAATCATTAAATGATAGTATAAAAAATAAGTTTTATATTATTAATATATTATAATAATGTTTTGAAAATATTAATAATTTAATATGCATAGAAGTACGGAAATACCTTGGTTTAAGTCATCCATGCTGACATCAGGTCAGCAAGACCAAAAATAGGATACTCAGATACCATAGCTTCCTATGCCTATGTATATTGAATTGCTACGAGTGTCAAATTATATTTTTAAAGCACAAAATTTAGTTGCGGTTTATAAGTGTTTTTAGTATTATTTTTAATTAAGATTATAGTTATAGTTAATACATTTTTAACTTAAATAAAATTTAGTTAATAAATAAAAATGGCACTAATAAATAATATAAATTTTTTGTACTTGTGAAATAACAAATAAATATGCATCTTCAAACAAAAGAAAATCGTACGAATAAAATATGTAATATGAAGGAAAGATGAAAAAATTTTGTACAGAAGTGTTATATAAATAATATAACTTTATTTTTTACGTCCAAATAATATAACTCTTTAATAAATTGGAGTTAACACATTTCGATGAATTTAATTTTAACGTGGGAATCTATTATACATCAATAATTACATGACAAAATTGGTGATTACTTAATATTTCAATTTTTAAAATTTAAATTAGAATTAATTTTAAGTATTTATATAATCTATTTTAATGCTTTTATCAAAATTAATTAAGCAAGATTTATTTATGTGTAAAATGCTGGTTTAGATTGAGTTTGAGCCTCTCTTTTGAAATTCTAATAAAAAAAAAGTTTTTCTCCTAACTCTTTTTTTCAATTTTTTGTCCTGAGTTAAAAGAATTCAAAGTTGAATTGGGTCGACTAGTTAGTCTGCTAACTCTATCACATAATATGAAGACATTAAATAGATATTGAAGAAAAAAGACATTAAATTTATTTATTAAATATTTATTTTTGTAAAAAATAATTTAAAATAATGAAAACAAAATAAAAGAGGAAGGTGCATCTACTGGTGGGTGGAAGAGGTTTAGTTTGAAAGTTAACGCTGAGTTGGGAGCAATGGCATGAAGTTAAAAAGTACTAAAGCAACACACTTTTTAATGAAAGAAGGAAAAGTAATGTGTGTATTGGGCCCATTCAGGAGCCATGATGGACCACTGGGCTTTTCAAAGTTCAAATCATAGCTTGCTTCCCAAAATGTCCGAAACTTCCTCTGTCACAAGCGATGTGGAGCACAAAACACATGGATAGAGACGCAACACATGATTCCCTTCTACAACCACACACTTTCAAGACTTCAAAAACAAAAATGGGTTATTCATAGTCAATTACCTTAACCACTGTTAACATTGCCGTATCACCTTTCAATTTAAATTACTAGGAAGACAAAAGATGGGCTGAACAGAAACCTAAAGCCCATTACTAAGACAGGAAATGACAAGTACCCACATCAACTGCAACAAAAAGGAGCCTCGATATTTAGAAAGCCCAATTGACTGCGTGTTAGCTACTTTTTCTGCCACTTTTTTGGAAATAACTTTTTGAAATTTAATTTTTGAAAGTGATTCATATCTTCCAAAATTTTATTTTGAAAAATATAAACAATGGTAGTATGATTAGAAAAAAATATGCAGAAAGTAAAAATTTCAGGGTAGAAGGTAGAGTATTTAGGGAAGTGAGTTTCTAACCAAAATAAAAGATAATTCAGTTTCTGAACTTCTGGAAATGAGCCTTCTATGAAAACCACTCTTAAAATGTTTTTAGTTTTAGGAATACTCTCTACAAAAGGTAAGGGTTGAATAATTTTTTACCACCTCAGGCCTGTTTGATATTTTATTGTCTCTAGGCCTGTCAGATTGTGGTTCAGAAAATGAAAGAGGAAAACGATTGGTTGATTGCACCTTCCAAAACTGGACTATTTAAACTTGTCAAAAATGGTTAGGGCCCATCTTTGATTCTTTTCATCTGGGAATGGATTATGCTGAGACTATCTTTATTCTTATAACTAGCAAAAAGTTGTATAATTTTTTTTCGCTTCAAATTTACGTGCATGTAGGTCCAATCTTCCAACATGTAACATATAGTTGTATAAACAACTCTCTCTTTTTAATGCAACCATTTGTGACTTCTGATTAGCAACTTCAATCCCACAATTCATTTTATAATAATTACTTAGTTTTAAGTAACCTCTACTGAAATTACTCTAAAGAAAGACATGCTATAACGATTCAGACAATAAGTCGACTTTTTAACTTGACCCATCATTAACCATGATTTACATTATGTATGTAAAGGTTGAAATAGAAAATATAAAATTAGAGTAAAAAGAAAAAGTGACAAAGGTAAACTGAGCTAAGCATTTGTTAGCTACTTTGATAGAATGTGGTCCATTTCAATGAAACATGCTAGACAAGTCCTATACCCGAAGCCTATGGAGGGCAATGGTTCATTTGTTGAGTAAATTTATCCACTAAAAACAAAATAATATGTTATTTTCATTTTTAGTTTTGTTTTGATGTATATATAGAGAGAGTATCTCTGATCAACAATCGGAGACTAATACGAGAGGTCTGAAAATTGTCGAAATGAAATTTATATCTTCGAACAAATATTTTTCTATAAGCACAATGTTACCAATTGTGTTGGGTCTTAATTTCATATTTCTATATATTTTGTTTTTGCTTTGTGACATGTCTTCAATAAAAAATAAAGAAAAAGAAGTCACCTGGGCATGATGATATAGAAGGAAACATTTTAGCAGTGAAAAGTCACTAACATAAATAATACTGAAACCTGTGTGAAAATGAAACCTTTGGGAGGAGGGGCCATTTGGTTCCCTTTATTTTAGGGAAAACACCTTTTTTTTTTCAAAATATTATTTTTAATCTTTTGCCTTTGATGTGGAAAATACTTTTGAGTATTTTTTTTATTGTTTGCTTCAGTGCATATAAATTTTTAAAAAAAAATTATTTGTGTGTGTTTGGTGTAACCGTAAGAAACTTTCTTTTTTAGTTAATCGTTATAATCCTTTTAAGGGAAGTCATTTTCCAATAAAGACATTTTCACCAAAGAATAAAGATCAATGTGAAAGAAGAACCTCCATTATATGGAGCTAACGGTTTTAACGTACGATATTTGCAACTGTCATAATCCAACGGTCCAATTAACAGACTTTTTCCGTAATTGATCTTGGTTTCTTTGTAGCATTTAGAACTAGTCAAAGTCTAATATTACAATTTACACATTAGAAGTACTTTAAAAATCACTAAAAAGCCACATTATTATTTTTCTATTCAATAAAAAAATTAATTTTAATTCCTTGCCTGATTAGCATTTGCCTTATACTAAAAGTAACAAAATATATACACTAGTCAGACGTAGTTAAGAGGAGACCTCCCCAGAATGCACACTAGTCATCCATAGGATGCTATTGGTGGCATATTATAAACAAATCCTCGAAGTTTGAATGTTGAACCAAATAGTAGCGTTTCAAGACTTCAATTAGAGAAATTATTGACTTCGGAAGCTGGGAAATTGGAAGAATCATGAGTTTCAAGTGCAAGTGCCCTTCCTTGCACCCCATTAACAACTCCCAAGATCAGCCTTATTGATTAACATATTCACATGTTTCCCATTCTGTAGTGATTTAGCATTGGTTGCATACACGCAACAAGACCCAACACTTTGCAACCACCACACAACCAAGACGATAGATGTCCAATCTCACACGGAACTCAATTGCCTAAATCTTTACCCACATTAAGGAACTTTCAATTTTTCCATGTTATTTTAGAACTCAAGCAAATAGTAAAAGAAGAAGAAGAATAAGAATGATGTGGCATATATTTTTTTTCACTCTAGTGTTCTCATGCAACATGTCAACAATTGGCACTTGGCATGTGTATATCCTTCATTAACACCTAGGAAGTAGCTATAGCCAAAAGACAGTGCTTGCTAAGAGACAAAGCAATACAGATGGAAACTTCATCTATCGCTATCTTCTTTATGTATAATGCTGGATAGAGAAAAGTACAATTGACACTACTCACATGCTTGCCAAGGATTGATGTCATCTCCATGTGGTACCACACACGGATTCACAGATGCATACACTAACAATATTTTTCAAGCACTTCCAAACAAAAATTGAGGTAGGTAGGTGAATAACTGTATGAAACTAGTAATTACATTCTTCTTCTTTTGATATAATATAATATAATTCTTTACTTCTTTGGTACAATCCGCCATAGCTGAAGGCCTAACAGCAACGGCAGAGTATCCTCAAGAAAATCTACAACAAGCTTTTATGGTATCACTACACCTGGTTACAATCTCAACATAAAGCTGTGTTACTCTTGTCATAGGCAAGGCTAATGAAATAAAACAGAAAGCATATTGAGAAGGGGAACACAAATTAGCAAAACTTGTAAGACACTTATGTAAATATACAGTTAAAAAAAAGGGTAAAAATAAATGAATTACATTCATGAGTGCCAGATTCCACTCAACATACTGCGGAACCGGTTTGTGGATAGCTTCTTGACAAGTTTCTTGGCATCAGGAGAAACTTCAGCCTCTGCAAGTTTTTCTATGTTTTTGGCATATCCAGAACTAACAATCTTTTTCCTCCCACTGTTGCAACTTGTTAATGACATTAAGATAGAGATCAAGAACTTTTTATTACCTGAATTCCCCTCCTCCGGATCAAGTAATTGCAGAAGAAGGGCTATATTATGGTCGTCCTGCACAAATCTCTTTCTATTCCTAGGCAACATAACCATGCCGGAGAGTGCCTCAGCTGCCATTTCACGAACTTCAAATGATTTTGCATTAAGAAACTTAACAAACTCTGGCATAAAACCCGCATCACCCATCGCTTTCTTAGCCTCCTCTGATGTTCCGCACAATCTAAACGCCACTTTGAGAGCCAACTCTTGGATTGAAACCTCCCCATTTCGAACATAATATAGCAACTGATCCACAAAGCCATAACTCATCAAAACACTCACGGAACTAGAGGATGAAAAACACAAATTCTCAACAGCCCTCATTGCTATCTCCCTTGTTTTAGAAGAATAAGACCACTTAGGATCCAAAACACGTAACAAAGCTCGGATTCCTCCTTCTCGAACCACCATCTGCCTGACCAACTCATCTCCAGAGGCAATACTCTGAAGGAACCCTATCGAATTGACCTGAATTGCTTCTTCCTTGGACCTCACAAGCTTGATAAAAATGGACACAGCACCCTCCTCAACCATAAACCTCTTAATTTCCTCAACACCAACAAGATTCCTTAACACCCCACAAGCAGGCCCAACCAAATCAGCTACACAATCCACACCACCACAAATCTTCAACAGCACAGTGACACCCCCATGAGCCGAAACACTCCAAGCATTGTCCGAATTCTCAGTCAACTTCACCAAACACCTTGCAGCCGCAACCTTCCCCAACTCACTCCCACAATCCAAAACCTTAACCAACGGAGCAATAACCCCAGCACCAACCAAAACCCCTTTATAGGAATCAAACCCCGCCACAACAGAAACCACTTTAGCACTCTCTTCTTGAATCTCCACCTCAGCAGAACCCAAAAAACCAACCAACAAATGAACAACATCACCCACGTCAACAATCACCTTCACGTACTTCTCGTCCTCCAACACAACATCCAGAAGGTTCCTCAAGGCCTGTCTCTTCATACCCAAATCCCCAATCTTCATCCTCGTCAACAAGTCCCTCACGTAGAACCTCATGTCCTCTCTGGAAGCTCCAAGACTCGGTTTTGACACAACCAAAGCATACCCGTTTGTCAAAATACCCGTCTTGTATAACTCTGAGAGCTTCTTCGCATGCCCATCGAGCTTCGCGAACGCCACATCCAAATCGCTCTGCATCAGAAGCTTCCCACTGTAAGACACATCGACGCAGCGCCGACCCAGATCGTGACACTCCGTTGCGGTAGCCACTATAGAAGGAACCAACCGGGAAAGTGATGTGTTCTCGCCGGAATCGCAGTTCTCGCCGGCGATTAGACCCGCGTGAAGCTCTTCCAGCTTGTTCCGAATGAGTTGCCACTTTCCGGCGAAGACCCTGATCGAGTGCGAGAGAGAGAGCACGGCACAGATGAGCTCCACCGCTCGCCGGAGAGCGGAAACTCCGGCGGGTGACCCCGAGGTTTGGGATTCTCCGGCGAACTCTCCGTCACCCATTTTCGGTCTCAGTGGTTGTTGACAAAACCCATTTCCGGTGAACCAGGGACGAATATTCCGGCGAAGAGAACGTTAGCTTCAGTGAGTTCAGAATCTAAGTAACGATCTTATAATATCACGAAGACAACAAGGAGAGAGAAAGCGAGAGGGTGTTTTTCTGCAGATCTATGCTCATATTTACATTGCAGTTGATACAGAATTGGACTCTAGCATTTGAATTTACTGAAATACCCTTTCAAAATTGCTTTGTAAAACGCAGTGTTTTGGTGCAATTCTGTCACTGAAATGGGTAAACAGTGGAATTGATGCTGTTTGGAAGTTGGAGGTGTGTTGAGAGGAGACAAGAGAGGCCCAGAGAGGTTGTCTCTAAGGTCTAGCAGTGCCTATTTAGATGGAATCATTTTGGTGGTAGTTCAATGTTTCTAAACATGGTTTTGTCCGTATATACAATGGGAAACATTATATAATACTTCAACATAGGACAGAAAAAGGAAGAAAATAAATTAACAGATAAAAGGTGAGGTTCAAGCAAGGGCTGCATTACAAAATTAATACTTTAATTAACAGTTATTTAGGAGCATTAGTTATTAGCTGTTACTTTTATATTAGCAGAAGTCAGTTACTTCCCTCCCAACGTGTTTGTAGCTTAATATCCCTCACATTTTAACTTTCTCTAATTAAAAGTTTGACATAATTAAAGTGGTCCTAAATTATGTCATGGAATCTGAAAGTTCTGTAGTTTGTATAAGAATAGGAGAATAATACTAAACTTCTCATCTATACTTTAAACCCGACCCCGGAGTGAGGGTGGAAAGGTCATAAAATTAATTTTGAAGTCTTGAATAATTAGATAAAAATAAAAATTTGAATAATAAGTAGCAAATTAATAATAATGAACTAAAATCTAATGGTATGTTGAGGCTTATAACCCCGTAACCATTGTCATAAAGTAGCATCTATCTTTTTTCAATTGGTGGACCCTTTATCATAAACATGGTGCAATTCCAACTTTGCATATAGTATTAAATTAGACACAATGTATCAAACAAAAACTAATCAACCAACTTTTCAGTTTAGTTTACGAGTCCAATTAATAGGATTGTGGTAGCGGGCCCTGGCACTATCTAGCAATGAGATGTGAGAATAGTCAATCCCTAACTATTTTAAAAATTACCTAAAAATCACATTAATAATTTAAAAAAAATAAAAGACAATGGTTTTTAATTCACACGATTCATAACTATTTTTTTCCTTTTCCCTGTATGCATCTTTTTTTTATTAGCTCATTTTATGATTTGCATTCACTTTTTCTAAAAATGGCCACGCGGCTTCTTACAATATGGACCATATATTAAATATAAATAGTTATGGACAATGTTTTAGCTGCAATACTTTAACTAGATAATGAAAGTGTTTACCGTATTTCTATCCCACTTCACAGTTCATATCATAATTCAACACCATCTTGAAAATTGCTTTTACTGCACTTTTTCCATAAAATTGATGAGTGAATATCAAGAATAACAATTATATTTCCTGTCGTTTAAATGCTAACAACTGGCCAACTGCAAATGAATTTGAGCCCCCTAGAATATAAACAATGAGACTGCTATAAGAACCCTGTTTTAAGTTGTAGTTGATAGAAAATAATAGCAAAAACAAATAGAGAACTGTGAATTAGTACTGAAACAGTAGATGAAAGTGTAGATGGACCACGTCTTAATGAGGACAGAGCTTTAATTACGTGAACAAAATAAAAGAGAGTAGCTTTCAATGCCCTTGGAATGGAAATGACACGGCCACACTTCACACACCCCACCATGTGAAACCCTTTGTTGGATGCCTTGAGCAAGCAGTGACCTTTTGAATAGGAAGTGGGGAGTGAATCACATAACTAATTGAGAGAAAGTTGCTTTCTTTTCCAACACTTTTTTGTGGGTTGTAAACGTATATAGTAATGAAGAGTCCAACAAAAGCCAATGAGGGGAACCACTACCATACATGCAATTCCACTGTGGAATGTTTTGAAACGAAATCTTAGCCACATGATTAGCTTCAAATAGAAAAGTACTCATGGTTTCCAGAGACAAAGGAGGGTTCACGAGAAATCATGAATAGAAGGTCCAAACGGTAATAGCCCACAACCCAAGCTCAAAGCAAAAGAGTAAAGCTGCCCCATGTCATGACAATCCCGACTAAAAAAAGCATTAAAATATTGACCTTTCCTTCCAAGAAGATTAACCTTCGCAGAATTTATGGGGAAAACATGAGGGGCAAAGAGGATCAAGGTGAATTTTTTAAACCTTAATACAAGACAAATGATAAACTAATACTAAGGCAAAACAAAAATGAATGACCCCATCGTGTCATTTGGTGTCTAATTTTTTACAAACACTGTTAGATTAAAGGTCAAAATATCATTATTCTGCTGGTCACGGATTCTTATCTTATGTGACCACAAATAGTATACTTTAGACCAAAACTTAGGTTAGGGTTAGTAGTACTGAACTAATCCAGAATAGTTCATCTTGGTTGTTTTACAAAGCTAAGTAATGATATTTATGATCATAGGGCCAACCTGCTGGTTGAGCCAAAACAACATTGTAAAACTATGAGTTAATTATATATATTGTTCCCCATACATTATAATTGCAATCTGCACATGCCTCAATTCAGGGGCCAGCATCCAGGATCTTGCATGTATATATCTCTCTATTAATAGAAGCAATATGGGATCTTCTCTTCTAATTTCGTTGTTGATTTTTCCCCTCCTAAATAATTGTCACTTTTTATCAAAATAAGTGAATCTAGATTGTAAATCGATTTTAGCTCCTCATTTGCAACTTTAAGTGGTAAGTTTAAGTTGTAATCATGATCACTTTCATAGTTTGGTCTCAAATTTACTGTTGATTGAAAGAGGGTTACTGTTTCTATACCTTCTCCATTGATTAAAAAAGCACTGTGCTATTTTTTTTTTCTTTTTTTTATATGTTAGGTGCAGAATGCCATTCATATGAGAAAGCCATGTCATTCTACCTTTGAGTAAGTAATAAGCGAAATTCAAGACAGTAGAAAAGTCTGAAAATGTCTTAGCTTTCAAGAGAAAAATAGATATATAAAATAATATCTTCATATTCATCAATTCTACTGACCCTAACCAATGTAACAAATTGGGAAACAACAATTAATACTACTGGAGATTACTTGATATATGGCTAGATGAACTTTCTATAAATTTTTTAATACAAATAATGTGTCAATAATATCATTCCAGGACGACGTATCATGATGTATGGAATCTTAGAAATACGTTAATTATTATTATTATTGTTATGAATTTGTTTTTGGGTTCAAGCAATGAAATTTGGTTTAAAGAAAACGCCAAGGATGTGAAATTAATAAAATTGGATCCACATGCCTTTTCTTAAGCATGTTGCTCAAAGATTTATAATTTGAGTTAATCCCTTATTCTTCTGCACCAATACATTTGGCATAACCATGGTAGCGTAAGTCTGTTATGTCCAGCAGTACAATTTTTGTACTCCATCACTTTTGGGCCATTAAATAACATGTTTTAAAATGTCAATTTTCATATTTAGTTGCTCAAAATTTGTCATCTCCTAATTACATATTACAAAATGTTATAGAGACGAAAGTTAAATAGCTCAAGAAATTTGGCTCTATATACTTCCGAAGTAGACCAATGGAAAAGATTTTAGTTATCTCAGCAATTATATGCAAAATTAGTAGATATATTAACTTAGTTGACTGTGAAAAATTATTTATTTACTCGCAAGAATTATCAGTTCCTCTGTAATGTTGCTGAAATGAATATCTAATAAAGGGCAGGTTTTCTTTTTTTATCACAGTTTAGGTATTTCTCACTTGAAAGGGGAAAAAAACTCAAATTGAGTGGATCTCTCCTTAACAAAGAATTTTGGGCTCAATACCCTGAATGAGTGGATCTCTCTGCTAGTCCCTTCAAATTTTAAGTTTTTCAATACAATCGATAATATTAGAATATGTAATCTATCATTATTGTCATTTTATTTAAAAGAACAAAAACACAAATACAAATTAAGGATCATAGTATTCTCTTTTTCTATTTCTTTTGCTATTGATTTACTTGTCCTATTTTGGCATATGCGTGAAGCAAGCATGATGTTCAACCACTAAAATCTGCATAATAGTGACTCGATTAGAAGAAGGCCAAGTGGAGGAATGTGAATCAGAACCCTATCATCCCTTTATACTATCTTGACCAATTAGTTAGATAATGGCTATGTGAGTGCCTTATTTTACGACTTATACCGCAAGAAAACGATGTGTGTCTTGGAAATCATGCATGGGTCCTGCATAACCCAAAGCCTGATATGGTTAATTATTAGCTACAAATTTCAACAGGATAGCTTACCAGAACTTTGCATACCCTGTCATAATTCTCAGAATGGGAAAGTTATTTGCACAGAAATTTTATTTCATAAAGAACTTACATAACAAAATTAGTACACAATAAAGCAAAAAAGATGAGAACAAAAACCAGTCACTTTATAACATTTTTAAAGAATTTTTTGGTGTATGACTAATGTCTGCCTCTAATTTAATTTAAAATTAATATATCATAATTTTGATTCATTAAAATAAAAAATGGATCCTTAAACAAACACACATGCACACAACTACCGTCCTGGTTATAGATAATTAATTGTTGCATGATGAAATGCTAATAAAATAAAATGAAATAAAATAGACCTCTTACCAAACATCACTCTCAAGTTATTATAGCCTTATATTGGAGTTGGAGAATGGGACTTGTGAAGTGAAATGATAAATATGGGGCCAGGTCATAGAATCAGACCCTGCATAATGCAAATATTAAGCATCGCAAGTAATCATTGCATAAAAGGTGCTTCATCAAAACAGTGCTTAGTATGTATTTGTATGTATATATTTGACATTGCATATGAATTTCCTTACGAGCATTAAGAAACTGACACTGTAACTGCAATCAAAAGCTTTGTGTTGCTGCCCAATTTGGGAAGGGTTTCTCCCAGACGATTACAAACAAAAAAACCTAATTTTTCCTCCAATTGATCCACAGAAGAAATAATCCCACGTCTTGCATGTATAGGAAAATGTTACTTTCACAGACTCTCCAAGACAGTGTTTTCAAGGCCAACTAACATTCATTTTCGCACGCAAAAAAATTTACTAATTGAAGACTCATCTATTCTATTCAGTCTTTCTTGACCAATCCACAAGTCAAAGTGATTGCCTTCTCTTTTCAACGCTTAGATTTTACACTAAATTATGATGAGTGCATATAGCGTTGTAAGATCAAAATAATGTGGATAATTTGTTTCTTCAAATATTTAACTTATGCTTCATTTCTTGGATGAATGAGACAATCCTCTTTTCTCATTAAATTCTTCTGTAAATTATACACTCCTCTTTTCAAAGTCCAAACACAATGTATATTATTCTGTGTCTTTTCCTTTTCTCAAATTATTTATTTGTTGCAGGAAAATGTTTATACATTATTTGATGATCAATATTTTCAATTTTTAAAGAATATATCTGATCTTAATGTTTGCTAAGAGTATTTATTATGGTTTTTTTTATAAGATTTTTTGTAAATTATTTCTTATAAAAATAATTTTAATAAAGATAAAATAAGCAATTAAAGGAAAAGAAAGTAGAATAATAAATTTTGATAATTTTAAGGGTAATTTAAAAAAAATTGTTCATAAAGTTAATAATATTAATATAATTAACTATATTTCTTTTTTTTTTTTTAATATATGCGACATTCTAGATGACATTAACCAATATATTACATAGTTTTATTAAATATATAAAAAGTATGTTATATTTAAGGCTAAAGATATTACTTGTCAAGTAACCATTGAATGTAGATCTTTTCGTGTGATCAATGCTGAGACACTAACAGTGAATTAAATGGCCCAGTACCATTAAATATAAATTTCAATGAAATAATCATTGTGTTTCGTGTTCCATGGCTGCCCTGCTTCTCTTAGGTATCTTCATCACTTTATTTGTTATGAGGGGCCATGTCATATGAATCTCACTTCCCCTTAGTATTTAAATATTAATGGAGCTAGGGAAATAATAATTTCACCTTTTTTTTTTGTCTAAATAATTTCACCTTTCTAGATAACACGAGTGAATTCATATTAACAAAACAAGGAAAAAAAAGCCCCACATATAGCCCAAGCCTGGCAACATGAACTATGGGCCCAATTTGGTCTTTCATGCGTGTTTATTTTGACAAATGGGCCATGGCCATTCTTAGGCTTACGATTCAGATTCATTTTGGGAACCATAATGTTTAAATTTGAAATGAACTTTAGTAGTAAAGAAGAATATTATCGGCATAGTTGGAAGTGGATGAGCTTTGCAGGTGGGAAAATTTTGGGAACCATAACGCATACCTTCAAAATTCAAATTTTCGTGAGAGTCTTATTCTTTGAAAATTTTCGTCACTAAATGCCTTACAAAATTCAATAATTGAATCCATAGACACTAAAATGGAACTTATCCTTTATCCTCAATGAAACGATTCACCAGATCTGTTCCAAATCAATGATCCACAGCGACAACTCATGTATAATTCCCACCAAAAAAAAGCAAGCACGTTCAAGGTTCACCTTAAGTAGTTCCAGAATTCCCCTGTTGCAACTACCGAGGACATCAAAATTACCATTGTTTTTTTATTATTTGCATATATTGTATGGATTTTTTACTAAATACACGTGCATGTAACATAAGGTTTTCAACAATTAATGATGTACGAATAGTAATACTTTTTAAGATTAATGATATGTCTATACTGTACTCATACATTTATTATATAATTATCTTGGAATCAAAACTTATTTTTTTTAAAAATATATATATTTTAATGTGTGTGTATATATATATTCTCTATGAATACCTAATAAAACACTTCATAACTTGAAAAAAAAACATTTTTATTTAAATTGAAATTACAAAGCATTTCTAATAAAATTTTCAGAAATCAAATATGATGACGATGACAAACTAATATAAGGAACAACTATATTAAAAGAAATCAGGAAAAAAAAATCATTTTTAATCTTTAAATTTTTAAAATTTTGTGAAAAATTATTATATTTATGCATTGTTTCCCTATCCATGCAACATAATCGGATTGAATTCAATAACACAAGGACGATACCAAAAAAAAAAGGCAGAAAAAAGAATTTAGTTAGACAATGGACAGAATTTCTTCACTAGTGCTTTCCAGGAAAAAGTAAATTCAAGGTATTTTTTCTCTTTTTTTTCTTTTGGGAGCATATCAAGCTCTTCGACTGTTTATTGTACTAGGACTCGTATGCTTTGATCGTGACACTAAGCTAAATCAACCTTGGCCAGTAGTAAATTATCGATATTTCACAAAATCATTTGATTATCACAGTCTAAAGAATTTGATCTGCATATCAATAAAAATTGCTGCTACAATTTATCCAATCAAGCATGAATTTTGTTTCTAATCTAATTTATTTCCATGATTTCCGCCATTATCCGAAGGGGAATGCTGTCTTTTCCTGAGTAGATATTTCAATCAGCAACAAAATGTCTTCAGTAAGCAGCAAAAGGCCATAGATAAGCAAAGACCTGGCTTTGCAAATGCGCACCCATCAAATTCGTTCTGCCATGATCCTCTGGATGTATAGAACTTTATGTCTGCAATCAATACCAGATTTTTCATAATATGGATATTGGAGACAATGATTGCTCAGCAACTTATCACTTTTTGCTCATCTTCAATGAACAGTTGCATTATTTCCCTTGGTGGGTCCAGCTAGACTCATGAAGGCAAATATTGCAATTATAAGATGTCAAAAAAAGCTGGTTTTGTTGTGTGTCTCTGGCCTTTCCTTAACCCTGGCATTGATGTACCAAGATAACAATCAATGGCATGGTTTCAAGCATTGGCAACATGATTGAAGTTTGACTCTTGCAGAATCCCCCTTTCCTCCTTCCACCTACCATATTATTGAGTCTTGATTATCAGTATGGGTTTTGCCATCTGTGGAAGCAACCAAAGGCTGTACAACAAAATCATTGAACATGGGTATGAGTAGAAATTACAAATTTCAACAGGACTGATAGCAACGTTTGGTTCAGCTTATATCTAAAGAAATAATAGCTTATTTTTCAATATCTCTCATATAGCTGAAACAAATAAACAATTATTCTCTAAAATAATTTGAAACAAACATGCACCGAGTCATGAAAGAGAAATATATTAAGGTTCCAAATTCCAATCTAGCCAGCATAGAAATTTTAGGAGTAAATGCTACCACTTTTAGATAGATTAGCTTAGGTGTGATCATACAAAACTAGTAAATTATGCAGTTGGGAAAGCAACATTGCATGACAAACACTATCAATTAACTAAGAAGTCAGAACCATGTATCTATACACTGAAGAAAAAAAAAAGCTCTAATCACTTCCCATTCTAAGTCATGCATGTTTCAATGTGATGCATGGCTATCTATCTGGGTGTGTGAGAGAGAGATTACCAAGAACATTTTGAGCTTCAAAGTAGGAGTAGAGATAGCATTTCAGAGAGTGAGAACAAATGGAGGAGCATCCCTTCTTGGTCCAACAACAGAACGATAAACATAAACTTTTTCAGCCTGACTATCATCAGCTCCTTCTTCCTTTATTACTTCAACATTCAATCTAGGCATTTCTTTTGCCAACAATCTACAGCCATTCATTGTCACTCTGCAGGCTGACATCCACAGTGACCTCATTGACTCATACTTCTCCAAACCTGAAAGAAGTGCTGCATTGCCAAATGGGCAGTCCCTTATCTCGAGTTTTCTCAGCTTTGGACAGCCTTCAAGCACACACTGCATGCCCCAATCACTGCTTCCAGCAAAAGCCACTGAAAGAGTTTCCAAGTTTTTGGCATACCTCCCGATGTACTCAAACGTTAGGTCAGTCAGATGACCCGATACTGCAAGCCTCTGGAGTTTAGTGCAAGTCTTAACAACTGCTCCAAAAGCCTCATCCATAGAATCATGTGTCAAGTAATCTGGCTGACGAGGGTTCATGATGCACAGTCTGAAATGAGTAAAGTCAGGGCAGTTTTGCACAACAGTAGCAACAGCAGCATTGGTCATCTGACGGCAAAAGTAGAGAACATAGTGAAGTCTCCGGCATCCTTGGGAGACTGCAATAAACCCTGATTCAGTGACCCCATGAGCAACGCCCTCATCAAAGGGATCTTCTGGAAAAACGCGCAGTTCCTCAAGCAATGGACAATGTGATCCAACAGCTTCTAGCCCCTTGTCTTCGACTGTGTCCAGAACCTGTATCAGTTATTTAATCAGTAAGGCATATGTTCCAATTATTTTCACTAGCAGGCACAGGAAACCATCAACTAGGATAACCACAGCCACACTAAAATCAATGCACATATTGCACAATCTTTTGGTTGTATTTATGTGCATATGATAGAGATGAAAGATAGAAAAGGATAAATATCAAAGCTTACTATGCAAAAACAGGATAAAATATTTGACAAATATCTTGGAAGTTAGAACTATCAATGGCAATTCATTTTAAGAAGTTAAATATAAATGGTTCCACAAAATACTATCATAAATTTAGGGAGAGAAAGCAAACATTCTGTTGTCTTGATTTTGGTCATGGATGGTAACTAACTATGTGGGATTGAGATTATTTTCAATTCTAGCTAATGCGTGAATAAAAACTGAGAAGAAAATGATGGTATGTGGGTTTCTGTTTGTGAAAACTTCAAAATCAATGAAACCATAAATAAATAACACAATAAAAAGCCATACCCAGAGGCGCTTAAGCTTAGGACAGTGAACGAGAAGCTTAGCAAGATCATCACTATCAAGAGGAGCATAGCTAAAATTCAAGAAGGATAGATTTGTGCAAGCAGAGTACAGAACTGGGAGATATTGTGTAGCCTCCCATAAACCCGAAAGCGTGTGAAGATTTTTACAATTATTGAATGCACTTTCAAGATCTGAGTACTGCTGTGCTGTCAGCTCTTGCGAAAATGAACCAGTACCAAGCTCACCCAACTGGGGAGCACGAATAAGTAGCCTTTGTAACTGTTCCAGTGTTACACTTTTATTAACCTTCAAAGTTTTTAACGATTTGCACCTACTAACAAGTTTCTCAAGTGCATCAAAATTTACATCATTGTGCAGGTTGGCAAAGTTCATTACTTCCAATGATGTGAAGCTTTCAGGGAAACAACTCAACCAATTGCCACTTTTATCCTCAATACCGTTCTCTTGTATGTCAAGCTCAGTTAAATTCCTGCATCCAAGTAGAATGCAGCTTATTTATTGGTCAAATGAAAGATTAAGCAAAGAACTCCATCATAATGGGAATAATACCTATTTTCCAGTTACCCAACATGATGCTACCATGAGTTGAGATTTTGAGATCAATAAGAAAGATTATAAATCTACCAAAAAGGTATAGTTTTAATTATGGTAATCAACAGTTTTCACTGTTTATGCTTTCAGCTATAAATTTGTTTAACTTGTAGAAGATCCTATGCCAAAGCATATTATATTTATGGTTAAACATCTAAACACATAAATTGAAGGCTACGCTTTTACATCATAATATAAGTATGTAGGTGTGAGAAAATTCAAATTTGAAGGAATGTTTATCATTCCCCAATATTTTAGTGAATTCCAATAAACCAATCTAAGAATTAAGGGAAATTCTCATTCTCACACATGCATCATAGAATTGCTCACAGTGAAATAGTCATATCAACTTTTCTCCATCCAAAAGAATAAGAAGCATCTCAGGCATACAACCAATCTTAGCTAAGTCTATCCTCATACTGAGCAGCACAAGTAAGAAGACCACCTTCTAAAGAAATAAAAGTCCATTGATTCCCTGGGTCTTAGCTGTTTTTTTTTTTATAAGGAATATTACCGTGTTCCCACTCATTTGATGCTCAAATGTTAATTTCGTCATACAGAAAAGAAGTGGCCCTCATATAAAAACAGTTCTGTAGTGGGATTCTGTTTCCAAACAAAATTCACAAACGTATCGCCAACAAGAAATTGTAACAAAGCACATCAGGTGAAAATGGTAAAAAGCAAGGCACTGAAAAAACCTAGAAAATGAATCAATAAATGGCGACATAAAACTTGAAGGTCAAAACTCAAAACGGAGAGTAAATAGCCATAATAGCTTTACTTGTAATCTGAATTGTTTAAAAGAGACAATTTAAACAAGAGAATCAAATTTAAAATTGTTAAAAAGTAAACACAACTGTATTACATCATCCAAAAGTTAAAAAGCAAAGATCTCATATCAAAACAGTAATATCACCAAATTGATAGAAAGTGAGAAGAAAAAAAAAGCACACCCATCAGCAGAAAACATGCAAACTCCACCGGTGATTCATTACAACAACACCATTCTCTCCATCTCTCACACCAATCAAACCATGCACAAAGTAAAATCCTTAAAACAAAAATAACAATTTTATTTTTATATTTTCCAGATTGAACAAAAGATTTCACTTTGAACTCCAAAACAAACAATTCTTACTTGCAATTAGTGGCAATTGCAGCCAACCCATCAGTGCTGAATCCATCACAACTGAGAAGGGAAAGGGATTTAAAATTGGGAAAGGAAAGAGCCAAAAACTCCAAGCTTTCATCAGTAACAGCCATCCTCTTAAGCCTCAACTCCTCAAGCAAAGGGTACTTCTCAGCAAACACCACAAGCCATGAATGAATATCAGCACCCCAATTAGCAGGAACCAAGTTGAAATCAGAGAAACGAGGCTTCCCTTTAAGAGTAACACTGCGTATGTTTGGGAACCTACGTGTCAAGATCTCAGGAGACACAGAATAACAGTTCCCTATGAACACATTCCTTCTTGACCATCTCTCAGCGTTGTACCACTCCTTACACACCAAAGAAACGGAACTTCTATCTTTGCGTGATTTCAACATGCCAAGAACTCGTTCCAACACTTCATCAGGAAAAGATGAAGCTCTGTTCATGATGTTTGATTCTGAATATTCCTTCTTTCTCCTCTTGCACTCCATGGGCATGGCCATGCTCAAACCAAATGGAAAGAGGAACAGACTTTGGAATACCCTTGTGAATGAAGAATGAGATTTGAAAGGAACAAAGGTTGCTAAATCATGGTAAAGTGACAAGCTCTGAAACTGGGAGATGGCAGAAAAGAGTGTGGCCCACCAAATGGATGATAGGCCTATCCTATCCCATGTCTATGATTTGGCCACGTTGCCCCATTTCAGATTTAGATGCTTCTTCTAAATTTTATGCTCTTTGGTAGTTGTTACAACAAGCAATTTTGGATTCTTTTTTAACCTTTTTACTTTAACGGTCTAATTTCTTTATTAAAATATTAAATAACTTTCATTTTTTACTTTATCATCGTAAAAATAAATTATATTGTTTACTAATTAAATATTTTTTAATACTCAATTTTCAGGTAATTATTGTAATTTTTTTAATGATAGACAAGTTATAAATGTACGACATTGTAAAACTTTTTTATAATAGTATTATAATTTAATTAAAATTATATTAAATAATATTTTTTTGTTAAGCCTAAATAATATATTTATTTGAGTTCAATAATATATTTTTAAATTAAAATAAATTATTGATTTTATTTTTAAAACTTTTATTTAGTTTAATTTTTCTTTTAACTTTATTTTATAACTTTAGTATATTTATCGTAACTCAATATTTCAATAAATTTTAATAAAAAAATTATATATCAAAACTTTGAATATTAATTCTTTTTAATAGAATAAAGATTAAAAAAAATGAATGAAATTATTTAATTTTGATATATTATCGATGTAAATTTTTTACAATATTAATTATTTAAAATTATTATAAATATCATTTAATAAAATGTTTCAACAAAATAATAATTGATGATTTAATAAAAATAGTGTAATTTAATTAAATTTATATCTGTATGTATGAAAGTGAATTTTTTAATATAATTAAAAAATAATATTATTTTAACACTCAAGTTTAGTGTATATATCAAATATATTATATAATTATAATATAATTTTTTTTAATTTGTATTTGAATATAATTAATTATTATTTTTAAAATTTTTTTTGTACCATTGGAAAAGTTGTTCGTGTACTGTATAATTATAATAAATATTAAATTAAATATTTAAATATATTTTATAATTATTTTAAGTTTCACAAATTTATAAACTAAAAATTATGTAGTAATAATAAAAATAATAATTTTAATATATGATAAAATTTAAAATTATTTAAAATTATAAAATTAATTTATAAACATTTAAATTATAGATTTAATTTGAATTAAAAATTAAATATTTAATGAATTAAAAGTTACATAAAATAAATCATTTAATAGAAGATATTCTCTTTTGAGATTTCTTTAATAATATCTTTATTTTTAAAATAAAAATCCATAAATTACATAGAGATAAATAATTATTTGCTAAATTCATGTAGATTATAATCGATATGTTATTTTTATAAAAATAATATATTTATTAAATAAACTGATATAACTGCCGACTCATGTCATTTCAGATTTAAATAAAGCAAAATACAATAGTGAAATTTTGTTCATAACGATTTAAGACATGGATGGGACGTCTCAGAGAAGTGTATAATTTTACCGGCAGCCATTGTCCTTTCTATTCTTAGCTCGGATTTAAATCTTTTATAGCAAACAAATATATAAAATGAAAAAAAAAAAGCTTGTATTATTTATTTAAAAATAATTAGTTTTTTTATGATTTTACTTCTGATTTTTTTTTTCAATAATAATTTAAGCAGAATATTTTTAGAAGTTAATGTTTTAAACATTAGACTGAATTGATTAATTAAACTGATTTGTTTATTATTTATTTTAATTTTAATTTGAATATTATTCCATTTAATTATATTTTTTAACAATTTAATGAATTTATAATTTTAAAAATATATCACTTTAATCTTCATCTAATTTATAAAATATTATCGGGATATCTTGCATGCTAAAGTAATTTTCTTACACCAAACTTACGCATGGTGTGAAAATTATAATTATTAGAGAAATTGTATTATCTATTTTTTTGAAAATAGAAAATTCCTGAAGTGAATGGGTGGTTGGTGCACAGTAAGAGTAAGAAGAGGAGAAATAACATTATTGTAACCATAAACTAAATATTTATACCGATATACGAGAAGCAGATATATTCATCGATGTATCAAGTTGTAGGATGTGTGGGACACATTTATCATTTTAATTATTTAATAACTCAATTGAATTGTCATTCTCATCTCTTGTTATAATTTAATAACAACATTTTTATGACTCAAAACAATAATATTAGTTATTTTTTAAAATGCAACATAAAAAAATAAAAATAAAAATTATGTATTTAATATTGAAACAAAAATTATTTGCTATTTAGTTATAAGAAAGTAACTAATAAGAAAATAAAGATTGTCACTCGTTATCATTTTTTAAGGTGTTGAAGTTGATGATAAAGGAGATTATCATTATCCAGTGAAATTTTTTATGAAAGAGTATTAAGGTTGGATCTAAAATTTTCTGAGTGAAATGGAAAACGGTTTGTAAATTGCAGAAGAATGGTGACTTGGACATTAGGAATGTGTAGTGGTTTAACTGGACGCTTCTCAATAAATGGTTATGGTAAAGTGTTAATTGTTCTAATTCATTGTGAGTTTGGGTATTGAAAACTAGGTATGATAGATTAACTTATTCTATTTAATATCCATTAATACATAACAAATGATCTTTGTGGTGACGTGATTTGTTAGAGGTTATTTATAAAAGAAATTTATGGTTGGATGAAAAGTTAGATAGGAGTGTGGGTGCAAGTTCGCACACCTTTTTTTGGAGAGATAAATAGGTAGAGTTTGTGGTGGTGAAGAATGTTGAATCTTGTATATTAAAAAATGATTTTCATGATGTTAGTTGGCATAGAGGACTCTTTTAACATGAGATCTCAAGTTTTGATATTTTGTTGGAGCTTGTTAATAGAGTTTCTATTAAAGTGTTACAAAAAGATAAATTGGTATAAAGGGCGAATTTGCGTATTTATGACTATTTAAACTTTTGGGTGGTCATAATAGTGTAAATCAGTATACGGCTGATACCTTGTAAAGGCTATGGACAGGAAAAGTTCTGCTTAAGTGTCTAGTATTTTCTTGACAATTGCTATTAAATACACTTTCTTGTAAAAGTCTATTGATTGATCATGGTATTTAAATTAATGATATAACTTGTTATTTTTGTCATAATTTGGAATAACTTCAAAGTCATTTATTTTTAACGTACTCAGTTTCATCTCAAATCTAGTACTTTACTACATGGTGACTTGGAGTCTCGTTGGTTTTGCCTTTAAATTTATTAACTCACTTGCTTGCTTAGATTAACGTTAGTCATAGTAAAAGAGAAGAAATATGTTTATTAAATATTTAAGTAAGTATAATATATTATTTGTGGTTACATATAATAGAATAATATTTTTTAATGGTGTTTTGGATGAGGGAAGTCTTAGATTCTATTATTTTGAGGTCTTTGAAGTGGCTATCACTTGTTAGTAAGAGAGAAGTTATTTTGTTACCTAATTAGTATCTAAACACACAAAATTATATCCATTTCAGCTTAATATAAATATGTTTTTATCTTTTTATTTTTTTATGTAAGTATTGATTTTTTTTTCTCTATGTATATAAATTTTGAGTTCTGATAAAATATGTTTTACTTATAAAAAAAATAAAAAATAAAAATTATATCCTATGTTCCTACTGGTGACAAAAGCCATCTAATTATAAAATATAATTAAAATAAAAACAAGTATTCAATCATTCCAAGTAAAATTTTTATTTTATCTCTATTAATCTTTTATTTTACTCTTTTTACAAGTTAATACATTGAACTTTAACTTTATCTCAATTATTTATATTTAATTTTTTAATAAATACATATATTAACTTTAATTTCGTCTCAATCAATACTCAAACTTTATATTTTTATAAATGACCACTTCTATTAATTTAAAAAGGATTTATTAATAAAAATCATCAACTTTTTATTTAACCTAATACTTGTTAATGCATTAGTTTTATTTTTATAAAGTACTTTTTCAAACATTAAAGCATAATAAAAGAGAGAAATAAAAAAAGACTTGATTAATAAAGTACTTTTTCAAACATTGAACATAATACTTGTTCATGCATTAGTTTTATTTCATTATTTTTGAATGTTTAAAATAAATTGCGACAAAAGAAAAGACTAACTAATGTTAAAATTTAAAGTACATAATCAGTTAAACATTTTTTATTAATAATCAAATTCTAACTAAAATAAAGGTGTATCTTATTATTATTTATTTATTAAAAATCTTGATTATGTTTTTCAGTGGCTGAATTTGTTCCGTATCTAATTCTAAAGCTATGCCACAGACACGAGGCAGTAATTAATTATGACAAATATGTTTGATTGATTGATTGCTTGTGTTCGCTTCCCAAACAGATGTCTGCTGTGTTTCTAATTTGAGTAAGAAATAACTTTTACAGATGGGCTGTACCTCGCCAAAATCAAGGTCTTCTTTTTAATAATTTTTTAATTATCAAATGAGATTAATGACAACTTTTTATAGTTTAAATTAGGATATTTAATGTATTTTAATTGTTTTTTAATACAAGTTGAATGCTCATATCTTCTATATATCTTTTTTATTAGGCACATTTTATTTGATTTTAAAGTAAGATAGTTAAAAATTATATTTTTATATTTTAAATATTTTTTAAACATATTCATAAAGCATTTCGAATTCATAAGTTTTATGAATTGCATTGTATTAAAAAGAGAGTTATAATACTAGAAAAAAAAAAAAAAGAGTTATAATATTTTTTTACAACAATATGAATAAGTTTAAAGAAAATAAATACATAACCATCCTATTTATTTTAACATGCATGGATTGAATCTTTCATAGAATCAAAAGTAAAATTCACACAATAGGCTTACCACCTGGTTTAAAATTTATAAAATATATAGTTATTTTAATCTCCTAAATTACGTCCATAAGGTTTAAGGATGCATTTGAATATAAATTTTAATTAAAATATTTATCTAATAAACTCTATTTTTACTAA